AGCATCCAGGCTGAAACGAACGGGGCCTGTAAGCCCTAAGTCTTAGGCTTTTAGGCTGAATGTCCGGGACGGGCCCTGCAGGGCCCGTGTGGCTATGCAGTATGCCACACCCCCCCCTCCTTGAAGAACCGAGCTTAGCTGCGAGGGCGAAGCTGTCTGTCTGACGGAGGGACCACTGTCCGGGTGGGAGGGGCTGGTCGTGAAGCTTCCTGAGCTAACCTGCGCTTTTCATAATGCGCGTAGATCAGCGGTGCGGATGCTTTCAAATCTGCGCCTGATATCCACCGAGTGTCGTCGCGATCGCATGCTTTGAATGTGACGTCATACTGTCGCGGCTTGCTGCCGTACTTGCGATCGGAGATGACGCGGTCAACTTCCTGATGGCCATCCATAGAAGGAGGGTCCTGCGATCGTCGGTCCGGAAAGTCGTCGCTCTTGGCTGGCGTGTAAGTTGCCAGCTTCGAGGCGTAGAAGACCGGATGGACTGTCAGATGCTCTGGAATGTTGATCACAAATGAAGGGCCATAGGGCTCATCGCCCGCGGCTGCTGTCACAGACCAAGGTCCAAACCACTTGGGAAGCAGTTTGCGTGAAACATCCTGTTCCAGTGCAAACTCTTCCGCGGAGACCCAAACCAGATCACCGGCGCGGATGGGACATGGTACGCGACGCCTGTTGGCTTGCTGCTGCATGCGGACTTGAGCTTTTTGCATATTTGCGCGGGCTTGAGTCAGCAATTCCCTGTACTTCCGGACGGAAGAAGGAGAGCAGGCAGCGTCGATGTCGGCTGGTCGAGGGAGGAGAAGGTCGGCGAAGATCCGACCTTTCCGTCCACCGTGGTGCAACTCGAATGGAGTCACGCCGATCGCCGGATGCACCGAAGTGTTGTAGGCGAACTCGATGTCGGGGAGGCGGTCAACCCAATCTTTCTGGTCCGGACGGATGAGCGTACGAAGCATCATTTGAGCGATCTGATGTGCCCGCTCCGTCTGCCCGTCTGTCTGAGGGTATCGAGCCGAACCTGGTTTCATTGTTGTGTCGGACTCCTGCATGAGAGCAGTCCAAAACGCCGACATGAAACGAGTGTCGCGGTCGCTGACAATGTCTTCTGGTACACCGTGGCCACAAATCCAACCAGTGTGCTGGAGGCGTGCCAGCTCAGGAGCCGTGGAGTAGTACTTGCAAGGGAGAAAACGCGCGTACTTACTCAATCGGTCCACAACCGTGAGGATGCCGTCGTGTCCGAGCCGGTCGCGAGGAAACGGACCGGTGACGTCCATGGCAATGGAGAGACCGGGTTCCCGTGGGATAGGCATCGGGTGTAACTCGCCGTAGGGATTGCGGTTGCGGGGCTTGCTGCGTCAGCGAACTTCGCAAGAGTCGCAATACCGAGTGACATCGGTGATGAGGTCGGGCCATGGAATCGCTGTCGAAGCCGTGCAATAATGCGGTTGACTCCGAAATGGCCGGCGAGTCGTGAATCATGGTACTCGCCGAGGAGGCGAGTCCGAAGACGACGGTCGCGTGGGACACATAGTAAGCCCTTGCCTCTCGAGTGGAGGAGCAAGTACCCGTCGGCAATGCGGTAATGGCTGGCCGGCGGGTGATCCGAAGATAGCTGTGCATAGAGCGTGCCGAAGTCCGGATCMGACTGATATGCCCGAATGAAGTGTCGCTGAAGCTCCTCGTCGAATGCGAAGGCATGATGTGTCATAGCGCAAAAGATCAGGTCTTCGTGAGAGTGCATCTGCTGCGCGATTTGAGAGGTCGGGGACATGCTTTGGTGTGAAGTCAAATTGGTCGATAATGTACATCCATCGTCCGATCGTGCTGCTCACCGTGTCCTGCGTCTTGTGGTAGGTCAATGGATTGTTGTCTGTGATCCATGTGAACCTACGACGCCCAAGGAGGAAGTGCCGCCAGCGTTTGAGAGCCATCACGAATGCGAGCAGCTCCTTCTTCCTTGCATCATCAAGCGAGTTGATGGGAGGCGCTTTGTGGCTGAAATACTCCACAGGGTGCCAGTCGTCGCCGTCGTGTTGTTCCAAGACTGCCCCAATGCCATAGCCGGAACCGTCCGTAGTCACTCGCATCGGCAGGGTGGGGTCATAGATGCTAAGGACGGGTGCCATGAG